ATAATTTGTTTTGTCTATTTCTGATTCAGAGGATGAATCGAATGAAATACATGCTACATCAACATAATTTCTATAAAATAAAGATTGAAATGGTTTTTCTGATATAGCAAAGAAATATTAATTCTACCATACCTGTCTGATATCATAAATTGTGCTGACAAGGTATAGTCAATTCCCATTACATTGAAGTCTATAATATTGTATAAAGTATTTTATATAGGACCCTGTTCCAAAGGTCTTATTAATCTCCATGTGAAATTTAACTAGAATAACTTTAAAAAATTAACTTGCTACAAAGTGAACCACAGGTGCTTCTGTTCTCTCCACGGAAAGATTAATTGATTGTATGTTGTTTTACGTCCCATTCGAGAATTTTTCACTCATGTAGAGACGTCACCATATACCGGTGAAGGGCTTCAAATTTTGACCTTTACTCGGCACTCAGGGCCATTGAGCAGTGAGGGATCTTTATCGTGCCAACGCCTGCCGTGACACGGGGCCTCGGTTTTTAAGGTCTCATCCGAAGGACCCGCAACTTTCACTTCAAAGTGCCGAGCGCATGGCGAAGGAACAGTTGCTACCCATTTTATCGACTTAGGTCTGTCGCGGCCGAGAGTCGAACTCACGACCTCCCGATCACAGAGCGAGCGCTCTACCGACCGAGCTACCGTGAACGGTTCTCCACAGAAAGAAAAATACCTGTAAGTGTCTGGAATATCTGGAGCTCTCAACAGTCAATACACTGTTCTAAAAGAAAATGCACTAATATAATTATAATAACAATTTGAAGCAATAAAACTTATTAAATGTGGCATGTATAAAAGTTCTCTAGCTTACTTGCTGTATGTTTAATTTTGGAATAAGTTAATCCCTCATTTTTACATTACAAAGTGCTGCAGCTTGTATTTGGGGACGAGGAACAGCAGAGGATGTTTAGGGATGTTGGTCATTTTCCTTAAAGCTATTTGCTTCTTCAGGTTCCTCAAGTGGTACTTCATCCTGGAACATAATGGATTACTTTAAAATATATTTTATTCATTACAAATGAAATGGATTGAACAGCAGGCATAATGCCTATAATCGTTCTCTCCATAGCAATTTAATGGATTAAAGTATATAGCTATGTAAATACTTGATTTGGTCATAGAGAGCATTAATTTATAACACAACCAGAAAAAGAGATGTTTGTGAAACACTTATGACCAACCCCCACCCCCTTTCTAAGTCAAAGGGGCATAAATCTGTAAAAAATTGCTTGATCATACCCAAAATAGAACTTGGCCTAGATTTTTTAATGCTAAATCTGTATACCAAATTTCATTTCAGTATGTACATGCAACCTCTGCGAAAAAAATAAACGGAAACTGTTGGTGGACTGACCGACTGACAGATAGCAGCAAAGCAATATGCCCTCTCTTCTTCGAAGGGGTGCATAAAAATACTTCAACCTTTAACATTAGAATACTTTAATTACCTCGCTTAGCCATGTTACTTGCAACACTGAACTTGAGAAGAGTCCAACATCCCTCAAACACCCGTAATGTAAATGGGAATATAAAGGCTTTTCCATTCTAGGAATAGCTACTTTAAAATACTCTGAGGAAGATGGCATACTGCCAAAAAAATTCATCAAAACCTGCAATATAAATGAAGAAAAATATAATATTATAATGTTACATCTTGCCAGTTACATTACACCTCTAATATTTAGCTTTACCATGTGACCCGAAGAGATCAGATTATTAAAAAATATTTTTTGAACTTTTAAAGCATCTTCTGTTGATATGATAAAAAATTCCACATTTGTTTCATTTCAGTGCTATTTTTTCCAACTGATTCGGTATCAGAACCATGTATATATTCATTAGACTTAATCTTATTTGCAGGGGTAGAATACAGCTATCTTGCCTCGGTAGGTGTGGTCTGTAAAAATCTTCTTGTTACTGTCCATTGATGATCTTCTTTCATCCCTCAGCTTATAAAAAATGCTTATTGATGTACAAAGTGTAACATACATACCTAATGCTAAACTATGACGTGATTTATCTTAATGAACATTTGTGATTGTTACAGTAGAAGTAACTTCATTAGATATTGCGTATATTGCTCATTACTCAATTATGACATTAATATAAGGATTATACGACCCAAGATGATTCTAAAAAGTGCTTTAAAGATTTTCAAAGATGTTTATTGGCCTCCTCATTGGTAGATATACTTCAGAGGGTAAGAGACTACAATAATAAAAAGTCATCTTACAAATTGGTAATTAGAGGCAAACAACTTAAAATTATAAACATCAAATTGACAAAGTTGCTACAAACTAACATTCCATGTTTTACACAATACCAAAATTTAAAATTTCGAGAAAATAAGGATTTACGACAGTAAACATGACGCACACAGATACATGTTCGTTGTAGAATACGCGGGTATGTTAAGGAAGCATACAAATCATTTCTCGAGAAATTTAGACTTTTTAAAGAAAATTAAGATTAATAATTCATCAAAGTCTCCGATAAAACATAAACTATTATTAACTATTACATAAAGACACGGAGTGTCCGAGGCCAAGTAGTGCACCACCTCGACGTCATCACGTGACTGCTATTAATAGCAAAATATTCCTTAATGAAAAACTTCACAGAACAACACTACCCCGGGGTTAAATAATTTCTTTGAGTAAATAACATAGTTGAAAAACATCTCTTATGCCTTAAAAGTGCTGCTAGAATCCCACTGTCAGATCGGGAAAATAATTATTCCACATATATGTACGAAACCTTACCCGATGTTTTGCATTTTATGCATATAACCCGAGATATTTCTACAAACCATGTTTACCTCACGATTCTAGCAGCACTTTCCAAGTATTATAGAACACAAGCTTTCGATATGTACAAATCTTATGTTTTTAAGTATCCAGCTTAGTGTTGTACTTTTGCATTATTGTTGTCACGAATGACAGAGGAAAGGCCAACCGGGATACGTAAATTGCTGACTGTCTTCAATAGAAGATATAATCGATGAAAATAAATCAACATACCTGTTAAACATACTTTAACTTCACATGAATAACACACAATATTCACGGTATTTACTTCTAAACCTCCTTTTACGTATCTTTTTACATGCCGTTTTGGCCAAATTCTCGTTACACAACATGATCGATTCTCAAGTTCCTTGTTGAACAGTTATGACGTCATTGCTCGGAGATTATAATTCAAGTGACAGATACAGCATAACAAAATAGAAACATTTTATTTTTGTTAATATTTGCAAATTTCTATTCATTTTCAGGAGTCAAATTATATCTCTAAATAGCAATATTAGGAAAACTTGTGTTCTAAACTTGACGTCATCTCGCCTACTATGACGTCATATTGTATCACTGATTTAGTCAAGTCAGATTATCTTAGTGCTTCCTTAACACACCTGCGTATATCAATTGACTTGTGAGTACGAATAACTTCGTGTAAATGTCTTGGAATTGTAACAAAATATTAGAGATGATAATATCTAAATAAGTTTTCACATAATGCCATGACCATGTGCGCTTTCCAATTCATGTTTCATTAAAATATGCAAAAACAATTTGACGACAATAAGCGTAGCTTTACATATTTGATAACTAAATAGTATTATACATTTTGCACATAAAACTTACTCTTTGGACTGTCTAATAACAATGAAACAAGTGGTAAATTTGTCATTGACAAAATGCGGGATCATCCCGGATGTACACAAACATAATCTGAAACACTATAAAATCTGAACCGGAACGGATAATATCCGTAACACCACACTCCCCTTCTGATTTCTATGGGAAAACTTTTTGTGTTTACATTACTAAAAATAATAGACCTAAAGCATAAGTGTACAACATGATATATTATATCATTACAAAAACAAAAGGGGTACGAGTTTATGGATGGGTCTTACATATACTGACAGTGTCCCCTTTAACGACACGAACTTCCAACTTCTCGTACATGTCCATCAGCTGAAGGGAAAGTTTTGGTCACAAGAGCCAACGGCCACTGATTCCTTGGATTTTCAGCCTCCTTTAACATGACAACATCTCCTTCTTTCAAACTACGCTCATCAGAAGTCCACTTGCGTCGAGTCTGAAGAACGGACAGATACTCTCGTTCCCATTTACGCCAAAATTCAGCTGCAAGTGCTTGTACGTAGCGCCACTGAGACTTATATAACTCTTTTGGATCTATTGTGGGTAATGATTCCGGTAAGTGTCCTATCTTTTGAGTGAGTATCATAGCAGGTGTAAGGACAGATAGGTCCTTACATCCTCTGATATTTCGATGAGTGGTCGTGAGTTCACTATGGCGCAAACTTCTGAAAGAAATATAGACAAGGTTTCATGGGTTAAACCTTTCATTCCATCTCGGAGAAGGATGCCATCTAAAATTCTGCGAGTTACGCCGATCATACGCTCCCAGACTCCACCAAAGTGGGAAGCATGTGGAGGGTTAAAGAGCCAGGAACAATCCTTGTCTTGAAGGAATTTCTGCACTGTAGGCTTCTCTACGAATTGGTGCACCATCTGTAATTCATTTACAGCGCCAACAAAGTTGGTCCCTCTGTCTGAGCGGAATTGACGGACAGGTCCTCGTATGGAAAGGAAACGCCTTAATGCGTTAATAAAGGAAAGTACTCAATTCCTCTACAAGCTCGATGTGGATTCCCCTGGAGACCAAACAAGTGAACAGAACTGCCCACCTCTTACTTGTGGCTACTCCTCCTCGTGTACGTCGAGCTGTGACATCCCAAGGTCCAAATGTGTCGACGCCGACAAATGTGAATGGGGGTCCTGGAGTCAATCGATCTACTGGAAGGTTAGCCATCTTTTGATTGCAAAATGATCCTCGTGTTGCCAGCTGACCTTGCGCCTAATCCATAACTTTAGGAATTTCCACTAAAGACAAGTCAAATAGTGTTTCAAATATATGTATTATACACAAAAGTTACAACAGATCAGTTCACTGGAATTCGACTTCAGTGGGTTCCTGGTACGACATGTACGCATTCCCTCTCTCGGGACCTACTCAAGTAAAAAACAATACACAATATTAAGTTACAAGTTTTTACACAAATGCTTTACCATACATTTAACAAATCATTTAGCTTAGCACTTAGCATAGCATTTAGCATAGCATATAGCATTTAGCAGTACTGCGTTTATACACACTTGCACTTAATTACCCTGTACACTTATTTATGCAACACTACACATACTCAAGTCACAATACACTCAAATATACGCAAAATACGCTTTTGAAACGTTACACAAACGGAAATCCTTACTAAAAAACCAGCGAACATTTACTACTAACAAAACTATTTATAGAAACGCAAACTTTACAAACACTATTAACACAATAAACAATTACAACTTTTACAGAATATTAAACACTATAAAAGCATGCTATTTGAACAAAGTTATCCAGGACCTTGAAATTAACAAAAACTGAATAAAAGAATAAATAAAACCTGTACTCACCCCACAAGCTGAGTGTCTGTATCAAAGGTATTTCATGCTTATGAACTTTTATAGATATAACCATTTGAAACCCGTGCATTTTGTAGCGTATCACGGCAAGAAGAGAAAGAATTACTCAGCTGTGTCCATTAAATAGCCTTAAAGAAATGGGGCTCCATAAAGGATTCAAATAAAAGAGGTCCCCTACAGGATAACTGAGTATTATGCAAATGTAGATAAAAACATATATAGAGTAAATGTGACAATACCTCCCCATTTTGAAGAAGTATGTAAATACTTTTGAACACACATTTAAGACATGACTAAAAATCAAGTGTCTCTGCAATTTAGAAAAACTATGTACAAATTAGAGTCTACTGAGATAATCAGCTCCCTGGTTATCTTTCCCAATGATTGAAATCACCCTATACCTATACAACTGAAGACTAAGCGCCCATCGCATAATTCTTGAGTTGATCACTTTAGCCTAGTTGAGATACATCAGGGGTTGATGGTCTGTCTCAATCTGAAATTCTTGTCCATACAGGTAACACTGGAATTTGTTGATTGCCAGACTATGGCCAGACATTCTTTTTCAATGGTTGAATACTTACATTCGCTCGGTTTCAGTTTTCGGCTAGCGTATGCTACTGGAAGTTTCAATCCAATTTCATTGTCTAGCTGCAAAAGAACGGCACCAATACCACCATCTGACGCATCTGTCTGAAGAATAAATGGTTTAGCAAAGTCTGGAAGTTTTAAGATAGGTGAATGAATAAGCATTTGCTTAAGAGTATTAAAGGCGTTTTCTTGTGGTTTGTCCCAAACAATTTTGTTAGAAGCGCCTTTCTTTGTGAGATCTGTAAGGGGTAAAGCAATAGCAGAGAAATTAGGTACAAATTTTCTATAAAAACTCACCAGACCAAGAAAAGATCTAAGCTGACGTTTCGTTTCTGGTCTACTTGCGTCTTGAATAGCCCTTACTACTTGCGTCTTGAATAGCCCTTACCTTTTCAGGATGTGGTTTTAGTCTATCCTCACCTACAATGTGTCCAAGACATTCCAAACTGCTGTATCCTATCGAGCATTTTGACGGTTTGGCTGTCAAATTAGCATCTCTCAACTTATTGAAGAGTTCTTCAAGTATCTTCAGGTGCTGATCTAAATCAAGTGTGAAGATGATGACATCGTCAATAAAATTGTCGATGTTCTGCATACCATAAAGTAACTTACGCATAAGTCTTGAGAATGTCGCTGGAGCTGTTACCAATCCAAACGGCATAACTCGGAACTGAAACAAACCTTTGGGTGTTTGAAAGGCTGTCTTTGGCTTTGAAGATGCAGTAAGTGGCTGCCAATATCCTTTGGACAAATCAAGTCTGGAAAATACTTTGTGATTAGCAAACTTCGAGAAAATTTCTTCAGCGTTAGGCATTGGTTCAGCGTGAAATTGAGAACAGGAGTTTACAGCCCTGAAATCGACACAAAAACGAAATGTATTGTCCTTTTTCTTAACAAGTACAATTGGTGAACAATAAGGACTTTCTGAAGGTTCAATAACGTTCAACTCAAGCATTTTCTCAACCTCTTTATCCACTATATCTTTCATTGCAAACGGTACTGAGTACGACTTACTTCTGATTGGTTGATCTGAATTAGTTTTGATATCACGTTCAATCAAGTGGGTGTACCCTGGAATGTCAGAAAGAACATCTGAAAATTGATTCAAGAGTGAAATTACCCTCCGTCGATCATCATCTGACAGTTCTGGATTAATATCGACGCTTTCCGGTCCCTCCGTATTCCCTGCACTCGGAATATCGTCTGTCTCTTCTTGTTCATCTGCTGTACAATCAGTCACAGCGGAGCTGACAACTGCGTTGACCTCATGATTCGAATCTTCTCGAACAGTATTCCTATCAAGGTGTTTCTTCAACATGTTGATATGAAATGTTTTCAACTTACCTCCCATGCTGATCTGGTAATCTACCTTGTTCACCTTCTTCTTGATGTTGAAGGGGCCTTTCCACTGCAGTAATAATTTATTGGAATCTGTCGGTAAAAGAACCAATACTTTGTCATTTACTTTCAAATTTCTAGCTCTTGCCGATTTGTTGTAGTATTTCGTCTGTTTTCTGGATGCTTTCTCCAGGTTTTCTCTTGCTAGCTCAGCTGTCGATTCTAGTCGTTCCCTTAAGTCTAAGACATACTGATAAGTTGTCCTTACCTGAGGATCATCGATGTCTCTGGTCCACAGTTCTTTTAAGATACTCATCGGTCCTTTGACATACCTACCAAAGACTATCTCGAACGGGGAAAACCCTAAACTCTCTTGTGGGACTTCCCTATACGCAAATAAAACAGGATTGATATACCTATCCCAATCTCGTGGACGATCTGCACAGACACGTTTCAGCATTTGTTTGAGGGTACCATTAAATCTTTCGACCATACCATTCGTCATAGGATGATAAGGTGTAGTTGTTATCTGTCTGACTGAAAGCAAACGGCTTACCTCTCTCATGAGTGCTGAGGTGAACTGACTCCCCATGTCACTTAGTATTTCGTCAGGTATACCCATTCTTGAGAAGATGTCTAGGAGTCCCTCTGCAACTCTCTCAGTTTCTATTGATGCTAGAGGAATGGCTTCTGGATACCTAGATGCGAAATCAACTAAAGTGAGTATATACCTGTTTCCCTTATCTGTGACCGGGTGGATTGGTCCAACTATATCTACTGCGACCCTTTTGAACACTTCGTCTATGAGAGGCATCTTCTGCAAGGGATACTTGGTAACTCGGCCTTTATGCACTGTTCTCTGACAAATATCGCATGAACGACAGAATCGCTTAACATCAGACTGTATTCCGGGCCAATAAAATTCTGTAAGAATCCTAGATGTTGTGCGACAAGTGGCTAAATGTCCTGACATAATGGATTCGTGCGCCAATTTCATTACAACATCTATAAATTTCTGTGGTACTACAAGCTGAATAAAAATCTTACCGTTTTCATCTGTTGATTGATACTTACGGTAGATTAATCCGTTTTTCAGGAACCAGCGTATTTTACCTCTCCGTTTGAGTAGCTCTTGATCTGCCGCTGCCCATTGGCGAATCTTTCCAAGGGTTTCGTCATTCTCCTGTTCAGTCCTAATATCATTTGGTCTTATATTGTCCTTCACAATCTCAGGGACTTTCAGTTGTGGATATGGTTTCTGTTTATTCTTGACTTGTTGGCGAGTCTCTACTGCATGTGCTTCAGTCCAAAGCGGATCTGGATCATCAGGTGATCTTACCTTATCGACGTTGCCGATGATGAGATCATAAATGGGGTTATCCATACACCACGCCTCGAAAGTTCCTGTAATATATGGTGTATCGATAGAAATAGTTGCAACAGGTACCTTGACTGAAGACCCATCTGCTAAAATGCAGGTTTGAAACTTGTGTTCGATGAACTTATCCTCACCAACCTTGCTTTTTCTTACAACTATACCACTACATCCCGTGTCCCGCAAAACTGTCACAGGCTTACCTTCGGCATATCCAGCTGAAACAGGCATGTTATTTTGCTTCTGATAGCAAGATGAAGATACTTTAGTTGACAAGTCACCTGCCTTAGTGTTTGTTATATTGCTTGTTGGTAAAGAAGAAACGAAACTTACCTTTGCCACAGGTTCATCTTTTCCAGTTTCCTCATTTACATAATTCTCCGATTGCTGATGAGTAACTGAACTAACTTTTGACTTGTTTCTACATTCTGACGCTATATGGCCTATCTTGTGGCAAACATAGCATCGTCTTTCTGATTTTGGAATAAAGGAAGACTTAGCTTGATATTTCCTCTCACCTTTATTATTTCTGTGACTGTCATTATCATGTCGATCTTTCTTTTGTGGGCGAAATTCGCTGCTCTTATCGCTAGTGAATGTTAAGGTATTAGCCAACCTTGCTTCTCGGTATTGATTGCTAAATGAGCCATATCTTGAATAGACTTTGGAATTCGCTCCTTCAGAAACAGTGTTAAGTCTCTATTACAAACATGCAAAAACTGATCTCTTAGAACCAAATCAAACAAAGCTTCAAAAATTTCAGCAATGTTTGCCATTCTCAACCATCTTTGCAGATAGCTACTAAGTCTCACAGAAAACTGAATAAAGGTCTCACCTTCTTCTGGCCTGGAGGATCTAAATTTCCGCTTAAATCTATCTTCAGTAAGGTCATAGCGCTTAAGAAGAGCTAATTTTAACTTATCATAGTCAAGAGCTTCCTCTGAAGGTAATAAAGCATATACATCTAATGCCTTACCTTTAAGAAGTGCGCTGAGATTTGTAGCCCATGTTAACTTTGGCCATTTCTGTGATTCTGCGTATCTCTCGAATCTTCTAAGATAACTATCCATGTCATCTTTTCCATCCTCAAATGCTGGAATCTTTGGTCCTTTTATTTTTACACTTACCTCATCACTTGCACCAATCTTCAGTTTCCCTTTCGCTTGAAGTATTTCCATTTCACATTGGTGGGTGATTTGTTGAAGTTTCATTTCCTTGTCATACTTCTCTTTTTGTTGTTGATATTCTAATTCTGCTTTCTGTCTTTCTCTTTCTGCTCTTCTGTCCTCTCTTTCAATTTCCTGCTGAGTTCTTACAAATTCTCTTAAATCATCTTCCTTATAACCTAATGATACCCCATAATCAATAAGTTCCTTCAACCTTTCAGCCATGATTAAGGGATAAACAAAAGTCAAGAGTACAAAAGTACAGATACAAACAAAATCAAATTTGACTACTGAAACAACTCGAAAATTCCCAAACAACTCGGAATTTCCAAACATACCTAGAATGGTATTTACCTGTGTCGGTGTTCTACAATACACATGCACTTGGGTACGCCAAACATGCACATAGGATTTTATCTTACACAAATTTTAACTGAAAAAAAAAATTACTACTTACACAACACAGATAGACACACAACTTACTGAAGTGACTTCTTAACAGTTTGGAAATTTTGGAGTTTCAGCAATGATTCAACCTCTGGGTCCCGATTAACTCTCTCCCATAGTCTATCTACAATACAAAAGTACAGCATCTGATTTTTCTCAAATACAAAATATGATTAAAGACAGACTGATAGAAAGAAGACAGGTAGATACAAACAGTTTTTTTTTGTCAATGAACTTGAAGTTTAAATCTATCACAAAACAATTTTTTTTATTATAAGATTTAAGTTAACGTTGTGCTGTGATCCTGTCCAGTCCTCATTTTCCCTGTGTGGTTCTGGAAATGGGTGGCTGCTGCATCATTAACATTGCTTAATAGTGAGTCATAGTGCCATCAGAATTGTTGAGCCAGCTGCTTGCAGGATTGAATGGAGACAAGGAACAAAACACTTTAATTTTGGTACAAATTCACATAAAAGAAATCCAATTGAAGAAAAGGTTGAAATGAGAAATTTAGTTGTCCAAACTGTTGTTGCCGGAATCAATTTATCGCAGACAATGTTGTTGAACGATGAGTGAGAGTAACTGCTTTTGTTGTAGATGAGTTGTTGAATGATGGACACGAATGGATTAGCTATCGACATCCTGGCATCCCACTTCTGACACCATCGTTGCCAGCTGACCTTGCGCCTAATCCATAACTTTAGGAATTTCCACTAAAGACAAGTCAAATAGTGTTTCAAATATATGTATTATACACAAAAGTTACAACAGATCAGTTCACTGGAATTCGACTTCAGTGGGTTCCTGGTACGACATGTACGCATTCCCTCTCTCGGGACCTACTCAAGTAGAAACAATACACAATATTAAGTTACAAGTTTTTACTCAAATGCTTTACCATAAATTTAACAAATCATTTAGCTTAGCACTTAGCATAGCATTTAATATAGCATTTAGCAGTACTGCGTTTATACACACTTGCACTTAATTACCCTGTACACTTATTTATGCAACACTACACATACTCAAGTCACAATACACTCAAATATACGCAAAATACGCTTTTGAAACGTTACACAAACGGAACACCTTACTAAAAAACCAGCGAACATTTACTACTAACAAAACTATTTATAGAAACGCAAACTTTACAAACACTATTAACACAATAAACAATTACAACTTTTACAGAATATTAAACACTATAAAAGCATGCTATTTGAACAAAGTTATCCAGGACCTTGAAATTAACAAAAACTGAATAAAAGAATAAATAAAACTTGTACTCACCCCACAAGCTGAGTGTCTGTATCAAAGGTATTTCATGCTTATGAACTTTTATAGAAATAAACTCAAATGACTATGGAATTCGCACTATCATATTAACCATTTGAAACCCGTGCATGTTGTAGCGTATCACGGCAAGAAGAGAAAGAATTACTCAGCTGTGTCCATTAAATAGCCTTAAAGAAATGGGGCTCCATAAAGGATTCAAATAAAAGAGGTCCCCTACAGGATAACTGAGTATTATGCAAATGTAGATAAAAACATATATAGAGTAAATGTGACACCTCGTAACCTGCGACATGTAATACACCCATGGATCTCTGATGCTATGAGACGCTTGGCTCCTATTATCCAGAATCCTGATGACCGTATCTTGCCTTCTGTTATCCGACGTCCTTGATGGAACACACTGTCATGGAAGTGTCTTATCAACAGAGTTGCTACATGGGATTTCTTTGGTATGATTATAGGATGCACATCAAAGCTGACAAACTTCTGAGCTATGCCAATCCTACCTACAACACGCAATAAACCGTTCGAATCTAAGAATGGTGCCAAATCAATAATGCTGCTATTCTTAGGAATGGGCTTTCCCTTGTTGAGACTTTCTATCTCTACTCTGAACTCAGACTTTTGTATCTCTTTCAGGATAAACATCTCGGCTGCTTTAAGAGAGTTTAAATCCAAAGATTTGGGACAGTAATGCCATCGTTTGGTCGAATGCTCACATAGATTCTTTGTCACCAAGATATGTCTAAATATGGCAATACTGCGAACCAGTTTTGTCCACTGTGAAAACCTTTCAAGGCGAGATACCACCAAGTCACAAGAGTCACCCTCGACACTCGTCTTGTTGACTTCAACCATTGGTCTCGCTTCCTTGTCATCGTCCAAGATGAAAGCAAAGTTCTGGTGCTCTCCCACTAAAGTAGTGGAGAGGTTGTCTTCCCTTAGGAATGCTGGTCCTCGCAGCCACGTACTTTGTGGGAGACTTTGGGCATCGAACGCTCGAGTGCCCAAGTCGGCTGGGTTTTGGTCTGTAGCTATGTGTCGCCATTGTTCAGGATCACTAAAAGATCGAATCCTACTAACCCTATTTGCGACATACACATAAAAACGTCTTGCATCACTGTAGAACCAGAAATCATTCTTCTCTAGATCCATGTGTTCTTTAATGATCTCTGCAATTTCTGTCCCAAGTACGGCCCCACACAATTCCAGACGAGGAATGGTGTGCGCATGTGCTGGGGCTACTTTTGCCTTTCCCATAAGGAAACCAACGTCACTGTTATTACCATCCTTCCACACCTTCAAAAATGCTACAGCTGCTATCGCATCCTTAGAAGCGTCGGTAAAGATGTGCACTTCCTTGCGCAATGCTTCGATAACAGAAAACTTGCAGCACATCCTTGGGATACTGAGGTCCTGGAGATGGCGGGTAGAGCTGACCCAAGCTGACCATTTTGAGTGAAATGAATCATCGAGAGGATTATCCCAATCAACGTTGCCGGAAGTTGTCAACATCTGCCGGAATAACATCTTCCCCTGTACAGTCACTGGTGATGCAAAACCAAAGGGGTCGAACAGACTATTGATGGTTGATAAAACTCCTCTGCGACTTAGAGTTTGAGGAGATTTTGTGAAGTTTTAGTTGTCCCCCTTCTTTCAGAGCAAGCTGAGTTCTCTTCATTAGGTCAATGGCCATACCTTTACTTGGACAACTTAAAGAGTCCATCATCTACGTAAAAGTCTTTTGATATAAAGTCAATCACATCAGGGTCAGAGTGAGCAACACAACGACGTAGTCCATATGTTGCGACTGCCGGGGATGGGCGATTTCCAAAGACATGGACGGCCATTCGGTACTCCTTTAATGGCAGGTCTAAATTGTTTTCTGGATGCCATAAAAAGCGTAAGTAATCTCTGTGATCTAATTTCACCTTAAAATTGTGAAACATCTGTTCCACATCCCCTATTACTGCTACCTTCTCACGACGAAAGCCTTGAAGATTGTTCGTGATGTCAGAACCTTTAAGGAGGACATCATTCAGTGAAATGTTGTTGAACTTCGCAGACGAGTCAAACACCATTCGTAGAATCTCTTTTTTGCGGGTGATAAACACCGATAAACACCTTTTTGTTGAACAACTATTCAGAAATTCTTTTTCGTTACCGAAATATATGCAAAGGAAATATTAAGGGGCCGGCCCTTCAAGTCCTAAATGGGACATTTAGCAAAAATTGAAAGATTGCATATTGTGAAGAACATAATTTAAACGTCTTTTGTTCAATATTGCTTACCAAAACATTCCTCCTTTTCGAGATATATTGCACCAAATATTTGGCAATTTGGCCCCTAATGACCCCTTATTGCGTAATATATGATGCCAACATCATGTTATATAGTTAAAGAGTGTGAAGAGGTAAATTTTTGCTTCAGTAATGTGTAACAAAATATTGATCATTAAAGAGTTATTAATTAAATAATTTGACCCCTCTCGGCCCCTAATTTGAGGAGTCAGCCCCTTTTTCTTGATATCACCTTAAAGCTCTTATGATTTTGAAAACTTTCTGTTCAACAACTATTTAGAAATTCTTTTTCGTTTCCGAGATATATGCAGAAGAAATAATTAGGGGCCAGCTCTTCACCCCTTTAATGGGGACGTTTAGTAAAAATTTAAAGGTTACATATTGTTTAGAACATTATTTTGAACATTTTTGATTCAATATTGCTTATCAAAATATTTCCCACTTTCGAAATAGAGAGTGCCAAAGAGTTGGCATTCTAGCCCCCTTATGGCCCCTAATTCTGTAAGATATAATGTGAATATTATAATATATAGTTGTATATTGTTCAGATTCAATAAGGAGTTGATTAAAGACTTTCGGCCCCTTTCAGCCCCTAGTTTAAGGGGCCAGCCCCCTTTTTCTTGATATCACTTTAATAAAGCTCCCATGATTTTGAACACTTTTTGTTCAACAACTAATCAGAAATTCTTTTTCTTTTCTGAGATATTTGCAAAAGAAATATTTAGGGGCCGGCCCTTCAACTCCTTAATGGGGACGTTTAGCAAATATTGAAAGGTTGCATGTTTTTCAGAACATTATTTTGAACATCTTTTGTTCAATAATGTTTATCAAAAACATTTCCCACTTTCGAGATATAAAGCGTCAAAGATTTAGCATTTTGGCCCCTTGTGGCCCCTATTTATGTAACATATGACGTAAATATCATAAAATATAGTTGTAGATTGTTAAGATGATCATTTTTGCTTCAGTAATGTATAACAAAATATTGATTGTTTAAGAGTTATCCATTAAAGACTATTGGCCCCTCTCGGCCCCTAATGTGATGAGTCAGCCCTTTTTTTCTTTATATCGCGTTAAAGATTTTGTCATTCTGCACAAATATTGTTCAGTATGTTTTAACAAAATAATTATACTGTAAAAGATATAATATAAAATGTCTCAAAAATTCACTCATGATTCGTGTCCTAAATTTCGACCCCTACCGAGCTTCCATATTAGGCACTTCCGGAAAATATCTAAACCCAGGTGCAAAATGGCAACATGTCCTCTATCATCACTGAAAATTTCAGCGCTCTAGCTTGAGCCGTTTTTGAGTTCCATCGCAGACAAGGAGGTCCTCTGAATTTTAATAAAAGGGCGGTAACTTTCGACCGGAAGTAAATATCATTTAACGGAACTGCCGGAATTAACTTCAGATGTCAACGTATCTACCTTGAAAATTTGAAAAAAAAAATCGAATTGGAGCCATCTCCGAGATTCTCATCTTGGTGATGTATTATGCTCATACTACTCATGTGTATAGTGAATATATTTATACTATTTGTGGATGTATTTTATTTTTGTATAGTTATCTCTCTTTGATCAGGGTTACATTTTATACATAGATGGAGAGACTTTGAATTTTTCATTGTGAGAAGTACTGTGGTCCAGAATTAAAAAATAATGTGCATGTAATAGGATAATTTCTTTTTTTCTTGGTGATGTATATAGCAATATATATTTCATTTATTCTGTAATTTTGTGTTTTCGCATCCATGAAATCATCAAGGTCGATGGAGTTAACTATCTTGAAAACTTTCTTCTAGTTATCATTCCTAAGGTTTTTTCTATATATTTATACCACAAAGGCTTACAGTAATCTCCATCCACCAAGATGCGTGGTCTAAAGCTGTATAAGTGGATGATATATTAAAAGTAATAAAATTTATAAAGTTAAGGCTGCATAAAGGGAGCGGGGCCTAATTTATACGGGAAAAGTTTACTGTGACATCACACAAATATAGCAATTCCTCACAATAACAAAAAATGAAATAATTTGCGAATCTAAACTGCATAAGAGTAATGAACTACATCAAAACTTACCACTGCATTCATTTTTGTCGCTAGTAAATCCCACACAGCACTGATCGCAATGCACTTGTCGACATGACGTCATCATGGTAAAGTTTAACGCATTATGTGCAGTGAGAGGCGGATCAAGTAATTTTTTCACAGTGAGAAATGCATTTTATTATTAAACAGAATATTACTTGCAAATCTTAGGTAGACCATAAGTACAAATCTGAAACGTTTGTTTAGTGCCATTATATAAAAAATATCGAGAAAATGTATTGAATTAATTCTACCGTGTTTTTGTCTACAGGGTGTGCATGTTTCACGCCGAGGTGCCTCATTAAATCGCCTTTTCGCAAGGGAATACACTTCATAGATCTTGACCATTTTTTGAATACACATAACGAACTTATTCCTTACCTTGTAAAAAGCTGCTGCTTTCCTGAAATCGGTAGCATGATTTAATAAATACAGAAAATATTTGGTAAAGGTCACACATATTTCGACATTAGTCAGATAACTTGAAATTTAAACTAATAAAATGCGAATTCTATATAAAGCAACAGCACTTTCCATAAACTACAAGTTATGTAGAAATAATCCATTACTTTAATTTTTAATTTTAACTAGGGTATGCCCTTGCGATATTGAAATTTGTTTATGACCTACATACAGAACAGAATACATGCATTTATCACGTGACTATCAAATAACGTAACCAAACCAAATTCAGTACAGAGCGGGGTATACAATGTTATTTCAAAGAATGTAAAAGTCATAAGATAATATAGTACCTTTAAAAAAATAAATTCAGTTTACAACGTGTATTGGTAACGATCCTCTGATAAAACTAATGTCCAAATAACTATTTCTCACTTCCATTCTCAATGACCGTGTAGTGTAGGACAGCGCCGCGAGAATTCCATCGACATCGAAAGCAAGTTTTTTTGACTTGCCTAGATAGCCGAGCGGTCTAGCGCACTGTTCCTGTACTGCTAGGAGACAGAGTCCGCAGGTCGAGAGTTCAACCCCAGGCTGGGGCGGAAGTGGGTTTCCTTATAAAAAGTGAATTTCTCTGTGCTCTCTCTCTCTCTCTCTATATTCAAACAACTGCAGAAAAAAGAACACGTGACATTTAAAAAAAATCTTAGATTTTCCTCGAGAAGAAATTTCAAACTGAAATGAAATGTTGACTGAAAAAATTAGTATAAACTTTATAAACACGATTAAAAAAAATTATACTGATAAATTAGATAGAAACAATCCCACTCGAAGCTTTTTGGGTGGTTCCCCTACACTATGTATGGAGCGTAGCGGAGTCAGCAAATTTCCGGATATCCCCGGACACAAATAAGGAAAATACTCGACGTGTTCTGAATAACATTTAAAAATAAAGGTAGACGATGAAATGAATTTGGAGGCAGGATTACAGTGCTCAGTACCTTTCGAAATGGAATCTATTGGCGACGACGATCGTGAAATGGTGACTAACCAAGATTTATATAAAGGAAGAGTAATCTACTGGACAAGGCTTTTTTTTTCAATCTATCACAAGTGTATTCATAAGTTAATTTGGTTTTATACCTTATTGTTATGATATATTGTATAGAGGTCTAGAATTTTTTAAGCCAAGTAAAAACTGGAAATTCCATTTGCCAAGATTCAAAATTCACGCGCCCCCATCATCAACTTTCCTTTTTAAAATTATGTTTGAATCTGTTTTTGTCAGCTCATTGTCAGTAATGATATATATCCTGTACTACAACACACTTTATAGTTATATAGTATGACCGAATATGCTAATAAGATGAAAGGCTTCTCTATATATTTATACCAAAGCCTCACAGTAGTCTCCACCCACTCAGAAGGCTTTCTCTATATATTTATACCAAAGGCTCACAATAGTCTCCTCACACTCAGAATGCTTATTCTATATATATATACCAAAGGCTCACAGTAACCTCCACCCACTCATCAGGTTTTCTCTATATATTTATACCAAAGGCTCACGGTAGTCTCCACCCACTCAGAAGGCTCTCTCTCTCTATATATATATATACACCAAAGGCTTACAGTAGTCTCTTACCACTTAGAAGGCTAACTATATATAATTTATAAATAGGTACTATCTGTCAATATGTCATTTAAAAACCATGGAACCAGACATTATGCTCTAG